AAAGATAATAAAAAAATTATCTTTAAATTTTTTTCCTTTTCATAGTATGAATGCAAAAAATTAGTGTTACAAATTAAATATAATAGCTAACAAACTTAAGTTACATTTAGAATTGCCGTGTAATACCGAGGCTATAACTATTTTCCTAGTAGGATATGGCAAAAGCTCTTTTATTATTATTATTTTTTTTTTGAATAAATTTGCAAGGGGTTGATTCGAACTATTGTTCAAGAAAGATAAATACATTTTAAACATGATTTGACACTACTAGACCCGAAGACTAAGTGCAAAAATTCTCACTTCTTTGAAAAATATTTAGAAGAAAATATAAGAAAAGGATAAAAAATCATAAACTAGAAGTAAGATCCAAAGGCAAGGCGAAGTGCATGTGAGAGAAGAATAAAATAAGCAATACCGACTGACACAAGCTATGGCGTCGACTCAGCTATACTGCCAACTGATGTTAATAACAATAAAATAAAACAAACCAGGCTCCAAAAAGAAACGAATCTCGTTCTTGAAAAGCCACTTTTTCATCATTCTTGAGGCGATGCCGCACCAAGATATCGCGCACACTGAGAAGAAAAAGACAGGAGTGCCTGAAAGAAAAGAAAAGAAAAGAAAAGAAAAAAAACTTGGGATTAACTTTATTTTTTTATTAAGAGAACAAGTTAAGAGAGTTTTAAATGTAATTTTAATGTATTAATTTATATAAAAAATAAAAAAAATTACTATTAATTTTAATATCTTTGATATAGAGATATTTTTTATTAAATAATTAATAAATTTAATGTTAATTTTTTTAATTTTATTATAAATATTAATGATAAAAAAATGTAATAAATATATTTTTATCTTATATTTTAAGAGTAAATGGTAGAAAATCCCTTAGTAAAAAGATCAGGCTTTCTGTGTGGAAATACCTTTCTCTTATTTTTTGTATTTTAGTAATGTCGGCCTTCAAATGTGGAAAAAAAAAAGGCATTCTTTTATTTATTTAACAAAAAAGTATTTTATAAGGTAAATTATGCATTATAATTTATTTTATGATTTTGTTAATAATATTTTAATAAATTTATACAACATACTATACTTTTAATATATAATCTAAATTGTTAAATATAAATTATTTTATTTAATAAAAAAGAACATATTTTACCATTTAACAGTAAAACGGTAAAATATAAAGTGTGGGATGGTCCAACAGATAGGTGTGATCAACATGATACTTTTTACGTTTTCTGCTAAGAAGAAAATCCATGAGAAAAATAAATAGATGTGAACAGCATAATACTTTTTACCATTTTTTGCTAAGAGGAAAATCAATGAGAAAAATGAGGCATTAATGGACATTCCTAAAATTCCTATCCATATGTACTACAATACCCAAGTAACTAATTAATTATAGTGATAGAAATCACAAAAATTTACAAGGAATGATGCGATATAAATTATGTTATTAAATAAATTTATACATATAATATCACGAGTTCTAATAAAATAAAAAGAATTAATTATTAAATAATACAAAATTTATTTTTTTAATATTTTAAATGATATAATTCATACATATCATTAGTCATAAATTTTAATCCCATAAAATTTATCATTTTTATCATTGTTCAGTTAATTATCATATTTGGCACTTACAATCTATTAATTTGGTTTTTAAATAAATGAAGGTTTTTTTTCTAACCTATACAGTGCATTTATTTCATTTTTTATTATTAATTTGTATAAAAAAGCATGAAAATAAATTTTTATTTTCAACACCAATGCTAAATAAAATGATTTAATTAAACAATTGATAAAATTTAAGTCAATATTTATTTTATCTATAAAAATTAATAATAAAAAAATACAATAAATACATTTTTAACTTAGTGTACAAGTTAAAAAATTCCATAAATGAATTATGGGAACAATGTATTTTGAATCTTAAAAACTCCACAATCTCTTTCTAACGATTCATCATTTTCACTTTAAATGAGTATCCCAATGAAGCTAGGAAATTCTTCCCCAAAAGATAAGGGCAATCATGCTAGGGAATCAAGATGGGAGACAATTAGTGAAGCTCGGAGCAGGTAGGGTAAAATGAAAATTAAATACTATGAATGAAAATTTTCAAATATGTGTCAATATCTGAATATGCGTATTTAATATCTGCTTAGCGCTTGAAATTTACATGCTAAAAATGATATTTAGATGAATTTAATATAAATATGATCATTAGTTTGTTTTATTTAGTTTTAATCTTGATTTGTCAAGCTATAAAGTTGTTAAGAAATTATGAATCATCTTAATTAAATAAAATCAAATATGTTCTCACTTTTAAAGCTTTCTTCTTCTATTTCTTATAGTGGGTGATCAGAAGTTAAAATTATCTTCAATTGAAAATTTTTTCCTTCTCTCTCTCTCTCT